ACGATTCATAACAGTAGCAAAATTACAGTTATGAAGTAGCAACAAAAATAATTTTATGGTTGGGGGTCACCACAACATGAGGAACTGTATTAAAGGGTCGCAGCATTAGGAAGGTTGAGAACCATTGTTCTAGGATGCTCAATAAATACTTGTAAACATATAAGTGAGGGACTTGATCCCTGATTTAAGCCTGAGACTAAATGAGACAGCTTAAGGAGAAAACATAGAGTGAGAGGAGAATTGGCCTAGGACAAGGTCTTATCCCTCTAAACTTAAGAAGTGGCCAGATATGAATCAGTGTTTGGTGGAGTGTTTGGTGTCTCAAGACTAAGAAAACAAACAAACAAAAAAAGACTAAGAAAACAGAGTATTTCAAGAGGGAGGAAGTGGACAACTAGATGTGCTTGGAAAGGAGGTGTGTTTCTCAGGTAATAGAGATCCCAGGTGACTCTAACAAATGCAACTGTTGTTGAGTGGGATGGGGATGGGAGGGTGGGAGAGGGGGCAACCAAATCAAGGCAGCTGAAGAATGACTGAAGGTGAGGAGGAAACAAGACAGGGAGTAAGGTCAACTTTCAAGGACTTCGGGAAGGGAGCAAAAAGATACAGTACTAACCAGAAGGAAATTTGTATTTGTTTGTTTTGTTTTTATGATGATAATGACTGGAACATATTTAATTTAAATACTGATGATAAAGGGTGCTTCCCCCATGTTCGTGAGGAACAGGGGAAAGCCTGGGTGCAGAGGCAGTGGTGGCAGGTTGAGGCAATCCCCAGCAGAGATGTCTATTATCTGGCAGGAGGGAGCCAGATCATTTGCTGAGTCAAGAGAATTAAAAGAGAGGAGGGGATCTGAGCAGAGTGGAGAAGGTTTGAATTGGTCTCTACGGGGAGCAGAACACCCACAGACTAAAAAGGGTTGCAGAGTCCTTTATACATGCTTTGTTTCTTCTGCAAGTTCTTCTCACCTCTCATTCCATAGCCAAGATTACCAAGGCCCAGAGAGGGGAAGCAATTAGCCCCAATTCATAGAAAGTTAGTAGTAAGTTAGTAGCAAATTCACAGCAAGTTAGTAGCAAAGCTTTGACTGGGTTCAGGGCTTTGGGCTTCCAGTGAAGGCACTTCCATCACACAGCAGCAGTCACCTTCTTAGGTGCCTGCTCTTCACTGTGTGCAGCTACGGTGGCTCTTTCCAAAAGATGGGCTCCTGGGTCCTAGATATTCACCCCCTCATACAAAGCCTGGCACATATCAGGAAGTGAAGCATTTTTTTTTTTCAGGTTACAATGATTATAAATCAGGTTGCCCTTCTTCCGCCTCACTCTTTTTGAAAAGGAAGTCTTCCTTTTATATAATTCCCTTCTTGCCCCCCTCAGCCCTATTTCAGAATAAGCCAAGAATAGAGCAGAAAGGGTGCCTGGTCTCTTTGTCATTTAGGATAACAGATATCAATTCCTACAATACCTACTTTTCTACACTGGGACGTGGATAACATATTTATGTATACACACTCCACTTTATTCTGGAAAGGATTTAACGCTTCTAGGGTATAGCAGTTGCTAAAAAAAAAAAAAAAAGTTTCTTGTTTACTGTGGGTGTGCTAATCCTCCACATGACAGATTTGGCTATTACAGATTCCACTAATTAAGTCATGGTATTTCCTCAGGGGCTTGGGAACTCATTTATGTAAATGAATGCAAAATAGATGGTAAATTAGAATTCTTACCCCTCAAACTTGTCACATTATAACT